AAGAATGTCACATCGAGTTGTTATTGATGTTGACCCACATTAACAAAAATATACATTGTTTAACACACAAGCGATGAAAAAAGCAGTTTTTGATGTTATTAAAATGACATTTTCCGCTTTCCAATAATTTTTACGGCTCTATGGACTTCGCAGAAGACAATATTTGGAGCTAGCAGCTGTTTTGAGCGCTAGCAGCGAGGCAATTGATAAGAATTGTTGATATTACAGGGGCGGATTTAAAAGAGGCGGAACCCCCCCCCCCCTAAGGGAATTAGAATTACACCTCTTCACCAACCAAAGGGTGTCCCTTTGGTATTATTTTATGACTTGCATTTTCGGTCAACCAACCATTTTCGACCAAACAAAAATTTTCTGAAGGCGCCATTATATACAATTTTCGAAGGGGAGCACTTTTTGCCAAACTTTCCAAAAAGTGCCCAAAAACAGCATTTGAAGAATACGGCGAGCCAAAAAACGCAAATTTTTGTTCAAACTTTTTAAAAAGTGCCCAAAAACATTTTTGACTTTATTCAAGCTTAGCCTGCGGCGCAATTTTTTTCGTCAAAATAATAACTTACATTTTTCTAAGTGGAGCGCAATTTTTTTTGTCAAACTTTTCAAATAAAGCCCAAAAACAGCGTTCAGACCTTTTTGTTCAAGCTTTGCTTGCGGCGTATTTTTTTGTTAAAATAGTGTCGTATATTTTTCGAAGGGGAACGCGAGTAAAAAAAACGCATTTTGTTTCAATTTTCAAAAAAAGGCCGAAAAACAGCCATTTTGATCTCTTTGTTCAATCTTTGCTTGCGGTGCATTTTTTTTGTCAAAATGGGCTTTAATACTACGATTTTGGGAGCGCTCGAAAACTCAATTTTATCGAATTTAAAAAAATCAAACTTCCAGATTTTGAATCAAAAGGCCAAAAATGACGCTTTCAAGCATTTTTTGGAAGATTTTGACCAAAAAGTGTTTTTTGGCGGACTATTGGGTGGTGGGAAGTTCGAATCTCCCAAATGTGGAAGTTTCCGTCCTGCGTGATATGGCCCTGGTTGATGTTCTGTTCAGATCATCCTAGAAAAGTCTCAATCTATTCAGTAAAAAATTTGTCATTGAAAGTTTTTCTTTAAGTTCAAAAACTGTTTATTTATTGGCCGTTTTTTCCAGTTTTCTATGAAACAAGATTACGCAGGGCGCACGCATTTGACTGCAAGCATTCTGAAACTCAGTATCAACAAAAAAAGTCAGGTCAGATAACTAAGATAAAATCCAAAGAAATTGCTGACTTTCTTGAGGTAGATAAAGGAACAAATATTCTTAGAAATTATGGGCAAAAAAAGATTTGACCATTTTGCATTATTTGAGGCGCAATATAATCCGTGTTATAAACGCATTAGCAAATTAACAGTTTTAATTTTTTATGAGATGCAAAATATATAAATTTATACTGTAAATAACGCATGGGGGATGAATTAAAGGAAAAACATGATAATACATACACAAATTTTTCAATTTTTATTGATCTGTCAGGAGTTCTATTATAAGTTAACATCTTTATAAGTCAGCCAAATTGGCAAAAACAATTAATCATTTTGAAGCTAGCAAAATTGGCGGAAATGTAGATTTCGGGGATTGCTTCTCTAGGTCCGTTTACACACTCTAACTTAACGGCATCGCAAAGTGGTCCCTTTGGCAATGAACTCAGCCGCGCAATTGAGATTCAGTACTATCGACAATCCCGAAAGGGTTAAGTTGGCGGCAACAGTTTTGTACCGTACCCTGTTACTTGTCCCCTTTTTATGCTGCTCTTCCGGCTGTCTCGCCCACTCTCACCGATCGCAGATGTAGTAATTTAATTCAGATAAATATTGGTCCAAATACAGAAGGCTCTAGGCGCTCCGAATTTAAATTACTACTCTAATCAAAAGGAAAGGGTCTCGATCAATCAACACAATTGCCTAAGTGCATTTCAAATCCAAACTGGCTTAGCTAACAATTCTCTCTTCTCTAGAGAATCTTAAATAACGATTTACACGCCGTAATTCCATGCTAAAACTAATAGTGTCACTAAGGATCACTATTCCTTTGAGGATTTTCGGCTGATCTCTTTAACTTCACGATTCCTGATTCTCTGAACATGGAGAACCAACTAAACTCTAGTTTCGCTATTTGTTCTCTAACTAACTGAGAACCGACTATCCACTAAATTTGTAATAATTGTTTTCTTTTTGACTGACAACCAATTATTCTTTATAGTAGCTCACATTGTTCTCTAACTATTGAGAACCAACCGTTCGTTCTCACAGCACGATTGTTCTGCCTAAGGGTAGGCTATTTGTTATTCTCCATAATGTTTGTCTATTTATGGTTTAGTTATAGCTAGAGTTATGTCGTCCCCACATGTCCTGAAATTTTCTTTGGTACCATTTTGCAAGGTCTTAACTGAATTCTTCCTCTGACGACACTAGTCATAAAATCCAACTTCTTTATAGGTATCTGTAACTAAGTTGTGCAATTTTCAAGTCCAATTTCACCTCCAAATCGAGTTATGTTCAATTAACCAATCTCCCAAGGTTTTAATTTAGTTATCCCATTAACATTCCGACCTGCTGGGGGTAGGGAAAGATCCTTTCTATGGGTCGCTATTTCATTTCCAGCATCTAAAACTCCGAAGAGTTGGGTTGGGGAACACGCCACTTTCCGGTGTTAATCCCAGTGTTTTTATGCAACTTTAGTCCTAATCACACAAAGGTTGCTTAAAAGTCACTCCGGAGTCACCCGGGGTAATCTTCCACATTCAGGTTTAGAGTCCCATCGGGGTCCTACCCACAAATTTTAATCCATATCCCGTTCAAACTTCCCAAGTTATATATTTATGATGTCGATTATTACTTTTCCTGGGAAAAAGCTATTAGTACCGGAAGGAGCTGCCGAAGAAGTTTCACTCACAAGCGGTCTTTTTTCGAGGATGAGTTGTAGGGCCTATTGCCGCCGTTAAATCAATATGCGCTCGCTCATTATTTTGCGTAATTTGCCTATTTCTGGTTTCAGGGGTATTTTTCCAAAGTGCTAATAACTTCTGGTCCTACTGCTCACTTTATACTACATGATGTATCTCGTCACTATCTATGATATCTCAAAATTTTAGCTCCCTGAGTTCAGTGGGATCTGAGAAATGACTCCCGGAAGTCGGAATGGGGACTATTTGCATAGGTTATAGCACCGGAAGCAGGGGCCCGGGGTGTCTGGGGTCCTAAATTAAAGCTTCCCTCGACTAGGCCTAAAACATACTATATTTCGGTTCCATTCCAACTGTTGATTGCCGAGTTCTAATAGGGCCATTTGCACTTCCGTTATCACATGGGTCCGGGGGTCCAAGGGGTCTGGATTTCTGCATGCCCGGGTCAAATCATCTCTACTATCCGTCCTATGAGTTCCATAAAACTAGCCCCAGTAGTTTCCATTTGGGAGAGGCTATCACAATTAGTACCTTTGTTTGTTTTGGTCGATTTTGCAACTTGACCAATTGTCTACTTCATTTACTCAACTATGTTGACTAAATTATCCTTATAACGTGTATCCACTGTTAAATTGTACGCTTTAATCAATTTCAATTCCTCTAAGCCATGAAAATTGAAACTTAAAAGAAAATAGTCGTTTATCACCGGGCTCTATTAGCGGGTGATTGTAAGCCCCTTCCCGACCCAACCCATCCTCAACGGAAAGCATTTAAGCGTAACGGCCCATACACCTTGACTGATAACACTCCTTACTCAGGAAAGGAAAAATAGTCCTTCATGAGATGAATACCCTTCCTACCCTTGTTCAAATTCATGGGGACAATCCTAAACACCGGGTGGGATGGACGAAATTAGAGCAAGCTGCCGCCTCAGAATACCATGCGGAATCTTTGCGCGGGCACTGCATAAGCGTGTGCCTCAGTTGCGAGGAATGCCAAAAGCAGCGGGCGGTTTCAATAAGTCACGGTCCTATGAAGCATCTTAGCTTAGAGACCCGCCGTCAGTTATGCGTTCGGTTGGGTTTGACCATGGGCAGAACCCTCCTCCACACCGAGGACTTCGGAACAATGAATCCCGCTACGCACGACCCGATTAGGGTCGAGTGTGTACCCGCCCTAAGTCGAGTTGTTTTCTGGACTGCTTAAAATATCTGCTGGTCGTATTGATTCGTCAATACCGAGCTACGTACCACTCATTAGCTTTCATTACACTGCATGCTCACTGCATGCACTTCATCTCAAGGTAAAACGCTCAATCGAATTCTAAATTTGGCAAAAAATGTTAGGATCACCGATCCAACAGTCTTCTCTTCTAGTCTATTATTGTCCCCAATAATGCTAATAATAAAGTTCAAATTTTTGCCCTTTTTACTAGCTAAAATAACCCTATCCAACACATTAACAGGAAAACTGGCGGATATTTAAATAGTTTAGAATTTTTTTTGGCCGGATCTTTTTAAATCAAATATAGAATTCAATTTAGATATGTTATTGTGCGCTGTAATGTTCCCTTGTCTGAAAATTAAATGAGAAATCTAGAGATCGATTTTGAAACACCATTAAAAATGTTCAACAGATTTTTCCGTTTACAATGATTTAAAGTGAAAAAGTAAAGAAAAAACTTTATTTAGTTTGTTTTATACAATTCTTTTCACTGTTTTTATCAAAAATTTTTATGACTTTTTCTAGTAAAAGGAGAACAAATTAATTGAAAAAATGATAGAGTGATGGTTCAAAGAGCACAAGAAAAAAATTGAGGGAGGTCAGCCTTCAATCATTTTTCTTCCAACATCGTCTAATATAATTCTAAAAACGGAAAAGTTCTTACCTGAGACAACTTTTCAAAAAAATTATTTGAATCCCAACCGCGATCACGATGATTTTACATAAGAACTTTGTACGGAACAAAAACCAACAAAAACTTTTATTTAAAAATGTTAATGTTTTCTCGGATGGAAAATTTGTAAAAAGTCAATATGTTTCTAACCGTTCTAAACTGTCGTTCTCTTCTTGGACGGTATCAGAAGTCGCCTTAGTGGCCCTTTGGCTCAAACTATTTCTAGATGCCCTCGTCGACGGCGAAGCATGGTCCGATTCGCTGGAAGAAGTAGCCGTCATCAGCAGTGCGTGTTGTCGAGCGAGTCCTTCCGAACTCAGTCGGACCCGTTCAAGCTTACACGTACACAATGGTCCACCACAACCTCTGTTAACACCTGTTATTCAAATCATTAATCTATACTTTGAGATTTGAACATTAAAACTTATGCAATCTCAATTTTCTAGCAGCCAATAAAATATTTTATCGCTTCAAGGTTGATTTTTAAAAATAAAATAAGCGTAAGTTTTTCATGGAACACAATAATACGTACAAGGAGCATTTTGGAATGGCTTGTGTACGGTACGAGAGCTTGTAGCCCCAACTCTGTGACAGCGGGGCTTGGGGTAACGCTCCTTCCCTTCAGGAATTTGACCCCTTGCCCTAACCAAAAGTTTCCACTTTGGCACTATTTCAGAACACCCTAAATTTAATGAAAAAGCGTTTTTGGCACCAATATTCACTAACTGTGATTGGGGAGCGCGCACCAAAAAAACGAGATTTTTTGGCAACACTTTCCAAATCGCCTAAAAACGTCTTTTTGAGCTGTTTTTTCAACAACTTGCATGCGGCGTAGAAAGATTGGTCAAAATAGATTCTTTATCGCAATTTGCTTAGATTTTTTCCCTCGAGAAAATCTTGACCCGCTCTTGATTACAATGAAATCCATATTCGGTCGTTTCTTGTTTTTCCGATTTGACAAATTAACTAAGCAAATGGTTTTTTTTTGGTGATAAAAAGGCAAAAGTCTTGTTGCCACTTGATAATTCATCTTTTCCTAGTGAGTTCTTTCTTCACAAAATAACAGCTCAAAAATGATCTTTTTCCAAATTATGCATTGAAACTTTTTGATTTTTTTTTTGAATAATTATTTGAGATTTTTTCTTCTAATAAATTTCTCATTTGTCATCTGAGGAAGAAGAATAAAAAACTGACCTCCGTTGGTCGTTCGTGCGAATAGGGGTGACTCGGGACAGCTGTTTGGCCATGTCTCCAGAGACGAGCAGCTGAGAATGTCGTCGCACTGGCCTCCTCCTCCGGACCCCGAGTAGAGATAGAGAGGCTCCGACTGGATTTCTTCTTCTAACTTCGAATGCTTAAAACCAATCACGCTACAAGTATGGTATAGAACAGTCCCCAATCTCTCAAGGGTTTCATTTAGAAGAATTATAGACTGCAAAATATCAGGAAATCGATAAATAAAATCACTACTTTCAAATTTTTGACAGTAGAGTGTGTATTTGATTGGTGTGAGTTATCAAAAAAAAATCGGGCTATCACAAAGTTATGAAGGACCAATTAGCATACTTGTATCGGAACCGCAACGCACTTCATTCACATTTAATCAACTTCATCCCTTGAAACTGCTTTCCTCGTAAATTATAAAATCAAAGGTCAAATTACATAAAATTTGTTATCTTTGTGAGCAAATATGTTTTTAACCTTATATTTCTTCGTGGCCAAAATTTGACATCAAAAGTTTTTCAAAATTCATTGAGCGAGCGAGTAAGAAAATTTGATAATTTTCTGGAGAGGCACATTGTAAAAATTTTGAATTTTGAGAGTTTTACAGACGAAGTTTTTAAATGACAACTTTTCTCTAGCGGAGTAAAACCAAGATGCATTACTAATTTGGCGCTAATTCCCTTTTCAATTTGTCTGGGCGGTAACACAACAAAACAAAAATACTGCGCTTTTTTGCTGTCGTTCTAATTAATAAACTATGACAATGGCTTTGTAGAATCACAGAACGAGGACAAAGCGTTACATCGATAAAAGGAATGAATCACACATCTTTGAAGATGTGTGAATTTTTTAAACATGACTTTAATTTCGACCCCAATTTATTCGATTATGTGGAACGCATTGTAGCAAATGAACATAATGTTCAATCAAAGACTGCTGTTTAGAAAACCGGTCAGAAAATTTGACCCGCTTTTGATCTATAGTTTTGTTATTTTATTCAGCTCAAAAAGCGGAAAACTAATTTGGTTGCTATAATTGAGGATAACCTCAAGAAATATGAAGTTAGAAGACGTTAATAGAAAATTTGATAGATTGTTATTGAATTCAGTCAAGTAGTTTGACGGAAGTAAGAAGATTTAACCGGCAAGCATTTGAGCGGCTGTTTATTTTGTTCACCAGCGGGTCATTCTGCTCCAAACAGTTGGATCAGATTGGGTTTTAATGGGCGGAGTTGAAAAGAGAAAACAAATTAGCAGACATCAGTTTGTCAATCAGATGTCCAGTCACAAACTGGCGTTTCAGAAAAGTACCCGGGTAGTGTTAACTCAAAACAAAAACGAGCGAAACTTCTTCCCAATTGCCTTTCTGATATATTGAGCTATGTATATAAAGTTGTAGATAAATTGAAAAGATTCTTGATCAAACAAGAATGGCCGGTTGCTTTTCAGGTAGCAAAGAAAAATCCGACAAGCAATGAAAATCAAAAAACACTAAAAAACATATGGAAAAAAAGCAACGCTTTTTGAACTTTTTGTTTATTTTTTTTGTGAAAGACCAAAAAATTAAGTAAAAACTGCAGAAATTAAAATTTTGTTTTGTTTTTGGAATCCCAAATTACTGCTAAAAAATGAATATAAAACAATGTTTGAGTTTTCCTTCCTCGAGGAGTCAAAATTGTTAAGAAAAAGAGTGCCATATTTACTTCCCTTCTTTCGATTTTTTAGTTATTGCTGTACACGTAAAATGGAATCACTCTGCCTAAAATGTTTTCACATTTAATATTGAGAAAAAAAAAGTAAATGGTCACTGTGAAAAGATTCGAAAATGTTTCGAAAAATGTATCTTAAGAAAAAAGAAAAAAAAGATTCATATGTTTTATTAAACATGCCGGATTAGTTGGCCAAAAAACTTGAACTACGTTTCATATGAACCAAGTGAAAACTGAATTTGAAACAATTTGATAATAGTTTCCAACAGTTTGATAAAAAACATGCTACTTTTATTGAGCCACCGAGGATGAAAAAGAACCTGGAGATTAGAGATTTCAGTTCCAACTGAGTACCGAAAAATAGAAGAGTTTTCAAAAACTGAATTTCAAATTTCTCAGAATGGAGCTGAATGAGCCAAAATTTTCAAAAGAAGCTGATTGAGCCCAATTTGTAGCAAACTGGGTCCAAACTTTCGTCCCAGTGTTTCCAATATAAGGTTGAGTGAGCTCAATTTTTCAGAAAGTGGCCAAGTGATCCTAATTTTTTGCCAATTGGGCACAATCAGTTTCTTTTTTTAGAAAGAGCAAAACAAACAGTATCAACAAGGATTGGTAAAATAGAGGGAGCACAGAGGGTTTTGAATAATTTGATTTGAGAGTCTTTTATTTCTTGATAACTAGGAGAATAACCGTACAAAATTTGAACGCATCGAGACCCTTTTTTTTAAAAAAAATTTTATGCAAAAGTTTCAAACCGGGGTTTTAGTTATGACACCGTCTGTTAGTGAAAAAAAATTCAGATTAATTGCTGTCATGATAACTTTTATAATTTTTATGCTCAAGTTTGGTTTTGAATTAAAACCTCAATACGGTCATATCCGTAGTCGTTCGGTGATTGGCACGACGAGTTGAAAACAATTAAATAATCTTGCTTACAATGATTGATGATATGCCTTATCACTCATCATTGTCAGCAGCAATATTTAATGGTTGTCAACTGAACGTGCCAGCCACCTAATTTCTACAAAAATAATTGTGCTGAGGTTTTATTTTAAACAACAGAAAAGATATAAGAACATATAGGTGACAAAAGCATTATACCTGTTGGTCTGTTTGCCCAATTTGCGTCATTATAATTAGAGCCAAATATTTTGAATGAGTAAAACGAGCCAGTGGGTCTTATGAAGGAAGCTTTTGCTTTTAAAAAGTGAAAAATAGTTTTACTCGAAGTAAACTAGTTTTGGATGCTTCCTTGAGCATTGTTTTGTAAGGAATGAAAAGTTTTATAAAATAATCAAAAAAAATTGTTGGGCACAAAAACAATTAGGAAAAATTTTCTCTTTGGTATGCGCTTTTAAGCGACAAGCGTTGCCGATATTTGAATATCTACGCGTTTCTCGGATATCTACGGGTATATCTACGCGTTTACAATCTACGCATTTATAATGTTCTTTCATTTCACTAAGTGTATGTTTTTCTCATCAAACCACGCAATTTTTAAACATGTTTGATAGGAAATGTGCTACAAGCTGATCAACTAGCTTTTTTGTATCATCAATCTAAATTGCCAATCAGTGTTTTTTACTGAAAAAAGACGAATAGGGTAAAACCGAAACTTTTATCTTGAAACTTTTTTTGCGATCATAACCCAGGTTGTCCATGCAAGAAAAATGCCTGTCCTAACATTTTATATTTGGAGTTTCAGTTTTGCATAGAGGAAAATTGTATGTCAAGAATGTTTTCAATCAAACTTTTTTTTCGAAATTTTTCTTAAATTGTTTAAAAACTAAAAACAAACAAATTGGAGCAACTTTGGCATCAAAAGTTTTTTTTTTGAACTAAACAATATTTATTATACAATTTCATATCTGAAAATTATATGATATGCGCTTTTCCTTGGAAAATAAACTAATTTGGGGCAAAATTGTTTTTAATAAGGAAAAACGCATATCATATACTTTTCATATATGAAATTGTATAATAAGCATTGTTTTGTTCAAAAAATTTTTTTGATGCCAATTTTGCTCCAATTTGTTTTTTTTTTAGTTTTAAAATAACTTAAGATAATTTTCGAAAAAAAAACGTTTGATTGAAAACATTCATGACATACAGTTTTCTTCGATGGAAATATGAAACTCCTAATATAAAGTATAATGATAGGCAATTTTCTTGCATGGACCACCCGGGTTATGATCGCAAAAGAAATTTCAAGAGAAAAGTTTCGGTTTTACCCTATTCGTCTTTTTTTTCAGTAAAATACACTGATTGGCAATTTAGATTGATGATACAAAAATAAAGTAAAATATCAATAGCTAGTTGATCAGCTCGTAGCACATTTCCCTTCAAAAACGTATATTCAAGCACAGAAGCAACTTTGCAATCAAAAAAGACAGAAACAAACCAAATTTGGGGTGAAATTTTCTGATGACTTTTTCGATTCCAAAGTTGCTTCTGTGCTTGAATATACATTTTAGGTAGAAAAGCAACTGCTTGCAAATTTTGAATTTTCGTGTCTATAACGTATTTCTGGTTGACTTTTTTACCAAAAGTTCTAAGACCCACAAAAAAGCGTTTTTTATGCACACAATTTTTTTTTCTTTTCAAGTGCTAAGATAATCATAATTTTTTTTAAAGAAAGCAGGCTTTTTTCTAAAAGACCGAAAGTTTCAAACTAAAAATTTTCGAGCCATATACAAAAAATTACGTTTTTGATATATAAGACTGTGTAAAAATGTTAACCTACTTGGCTAATAATAGCAAACGCAGTTTATCTGCATGCTAACTGCCTGTTACACTCTAGGTTTTCTTATGACAGAAAATCCCCGGTTATTGTGCTTCGGATGAAACAGAAAAATCGCAAAACAAAAAGTTTTCTGTTTTCATATATGGTAAAAATGCATTTCATACAGTTTGATAATAAGGATAAAAGCTTGTTATACAATTTCATAGGACAACAAATTGTTTTTACTGTAGTTATAAAAATTCAAGTGTGATAAAAGTGAACCAGTTAAGACCAAATTTGACCGAGGGTCCAAATAACTTCAGTTCTAAGCAAATAGAGCCATTTAATTTTGTCAAAAGACCCGGCTCGGTCATTTTCAAAACTTATCAAACGTAATTAATCTCTGCCTAACCTGCGCTAACTTTATTCCACGCTTTAATTATGACATCAACGAGACGAAAAATTTAACAACTTTCAAGCACTGTGTTTACATTAGGGACTCTGTTAGTTTCTTTGGACACCTTCATCAAACTTGTACATTCATAAAATCTTTGTGGTAAAAAGTATGACAAAAAGCTTATTATTTAATTCGAAAACTGACAAAAATGCTTATTATAAAACTTCTTAGTATGAAAAAATGCTTATCATGCTATTTTCATACTATTTTTTGGTCTAATAGAATAGTATGAAATAGAATGATAAGCATTTTTTCATAGTTAAAAAATGTATGACAAGCTTTTTTTGTCTTCCCGGAAACTTTCGTCTGTCATTTCTTTGCCCATACCACGACACAATGAGTTGAGTTTTATTTTTTACTTCACTAATTTTCATGCTGTAAATCATAATCAAAATTTCGAACAGGTTTTTTTTGTGCTCCGTTATCTCATTATAAAACTTATAAGCTTATTTCATAATAAGGAAGTTTTTTTATCTGCTTACCTGAATTCTCTCCAGACGTGATACAATTTCATCCAGGTACGAGTAATCCAGGGACGAAATGGCATTCAGGAATTTCCTCGACGACCAACTCCTGTACTTCCTAGGAGGTGGCACCAGTTCATCCCAACTTCCTCTGAAACCCCCTTTGTTCAAGCCCCTTATCCTGGGAGGGGGCGAGGGCGTGTGAAATACGTTTTCGTAAACTGGCTTATTGTCACAACAACAATTGTTGCCGCATTTTTGAGCATCGTAGGTTTGCATGACGAGCTAACTGCGAAGCGAACAAAAATGGAATCAAGTTTGAAATCTAATAGAGTTCAAATCACGTAGGTGCTTTTTCTCTTAAAATAGATAAATGAACAGTTTGTTAGAAATGTCCTTTGTAATATTCTTGGTTTTTGGGTATTCGTGACAGTGGTAAGTATAAATTGGATTAGACGCTGGTCGGAAAGCCACACAAGCTGAAAGTCTGGCCACAGGTTAGAATTTAATTTACACCTTCAAATCGGCAACCTCTTTTGGCGTCAACTTGAAAATCAGTTCGCAACTGAAGTTGAAAAGGAATCAGATTTAATCTGATGTAGATTAGATTACATTTTACAATCCGAAGATATTTTAACAATGAGTTTCAAGTCTTCAAGTAAATCTTAAGAGTCAATGATTAAAACGAGCACAAAATCTAGCCCAGTTTCAAAGCTTAATTTATACCACCGCCATACTGTAAAACTAAAATGTAGTAATACAAATGGTATGCTAGTAGGTAACTACTTTGTTACAATAACTGTATCAGTTAGTTATAAAACACCTAGACTAGTTTCGGCCTGTCAAAAATAATGTTTACGCAATGAAGCGCTGGGATTTGATCAACCTGACAAACTTTATCTGAGCGGGTAATTTAGAACAGGTAAACTTCGTTCGGGTATTTACCCAATTCCTTGTCGCGACAAGACAGGAGTCCAAAATTATTGAATATCGAACGGACTGACAGTTCAAGGTTATTCACGAAATATTAACCAGGCCGACCTCTAAAACTTTTGAATGACAAGAACCAATCAATCTAAAAAACAGCTGGAATGATTTGAACAGTGATTAATATCTTTTTCAGGAAATCAAAGAGGCAGCAAGTAGCAAGTATCGATTATTGATTAATTGTTTAAAGAGGCAGCAAATATCAAAGGCTCGAGAGAACTTGACCTTTCATCACATTTTGCCCACAATAGAAGAAAAAGCGCATCCACTGTATGGCAATGATAATCACACGTCGCATAAAATTTTCTCGATAACGCTCAAAATAACTTTTCTCTCATGAAACTTTTGGGAACACAATTCCGTACAGTCACGGACAGGGGCTGATTTCAAGGAGAAGAGTATTTGCTTACCAATATACTAAATTTGAGGGGGTAGCGCGCGCCAAAAAAAAAACAATTTTTTTGGTCAACACTTTCCAAAAAAGCCTAAAAATGCATGTGTTGAGAAAAACCAGTTTCTAATTTTGTTCTAACTTTGAGCTAATATGGTGAGCGCTCAGGCTCAAAATAGTTTATTGATGCTTTTCAAGCCGTTAAAACATAGTTTCGCTCAAGTTAGTTACTTTATGGAGTTTTTAAATGCCCTTGTGGGAATTAAAAATTCAAAAAAATTTCTGCAAAAAGTTTTTGTAAAACTTGTTTTATGATTGTTGCATCGTTTTTCATTTAATTTTCTAAATAAAACTTTTTTCCAAATGGCCTAGTTTACCAAGACTGTCGAATATGCTTAAATTCTATTTTTTTATTCAGACTTTTTTTATCACACCAAGCAGAAAAAATGACACTAACTTGAAAAATCGTTTTTGTTTTCTTTTAAAACTATTCTGCGCTACTTGCACAGTGACCGCCTATCCTTGTTTCGATTTGGGTTTACCATGCATTTTGAAAATGTTTGCAATGAAGAGAAGAACTATCTTTATTGAAAACATTTTGCACCTTCATTTGAGATCATATTAGGGCTTCAAAGCAACACGGCCACCTTCCTATAACTTTCCAAAGAATGCATAAACCGCATCCTATATGATTCTCCAGAAACCGGTGTTTTGTGTCAAATTTTTAATAAGAGGGATTATTTGTATGGAAACAAAGTTGCAACGACAAAAATTTAAGTATTGCTTCATTTCATTTGCTAGCGATCTTGAACAATTCACTGATTATGAAAAAATATCAAAATCATTTCAAGATAAACAAAAAAATTCCCATAAAAGTTTTTACAATTGAGTTCTTAAACAGTTTTGCTTTGGCCAAATAAAATAATAGATTAATTCCGTTTTGAAAAATAAAAATGTCAAGTAAGCCATCAAAAATGATTGGCTGGAATTTTTTCATCATAATTTTTCATACATGTATATCTATACATACAAAGGTGGATCCAGAGTTTTCTCGAGGGGGCCAATTTTCAAACAAAATTGTCGACCTTTCTTTTTAGGTTGATCAAATTGATTTACCGAGCTCTCCCAAAACAATAAAAAAAACCTGTTTTTAGCTTTATTGCGTCGTTTGGCAAATTTTTGAAAGAACTGGCCAAAAGGCATTCTTGGGAATTTTTTTTTGAAAAGCCGCGCTATGTTTGGCGCGCGCTTTCCTCTCAGAATTAGTATATATTGGGGCCGAATGTGTCTTTAGAAAAAATTTAGGGTTCGTGAGCCATAAAAGGACATCGCAAAAAAGTACAAAAATGGGACCCGTTGGGTTTGCAGGGGATCGAATTTCTGGCAAGGAAGGCGTCAGTCACCCACAAACACCGCCCTTCCCCCGAAATGCGCTACTCTATACATTTTTTTGTAAAGAGTTGAAAACAATGCAGCTCACAAGAAAAATCGAAATTTTTGCGAAGAATTAAATCGAAAAGCAAATAATCAATTTTACGAGTCATCAGTTTCTTAAGAAAAAAATCAACTAAAACAGAATTTATTTCACGTTTCTTTTTGCAATCAAAATGTTTTATATTATGCTATCTTGAATTGACTAAAGCTTAACGGATTGGTTGACCGCTTAAATCAAAATTTGATTTCACTAGTCTTTTGAGTTGATTAATTTATTTATTCATTATCTAGTGAAAGATAATGATCAAAACTTTTGAGATGAAAAACAATTCGAGGTTTCAAGCAGTGCTGTTTACTTACAATTGCTTACAATTTCGGAGAATTTCAATTAATTTCATATGGTTTTTTAAGCAAAATTAAATGCCCAGTAGCTATTACAAGTACTTGACTCATTCTTTAATTTGCTGTAGCTGTAGGTATCAATTTTTGATTTTGACTTTGGCTTTGATTTATGATTTGTTTTTTTCTAAAATTAGTAATTTTTTAGGTCTTAAAATGAGGGAAAACACATTTTCGAAAAAAAAACAAGTAAGAAATAATTTTAATTTTTTGCTAAAAAACTGTTAAAAAACTCACACAGTCATCCAGCTAGCAAACTTATCTAATGGGATTTTATCAATATATAATTGAGAGAAAACTTCCTAAATAATCAGAACAATGTTTTCGGATTATGTTTTGAGATTGATTCAATTTATTACAAACGAATTGGCCAAAACTTATCGGATTGATCAACACGGTAAATCAACATTTTTTTGTAAAAAGTTTAAGAATCAAGCAATCAATAAATTTTTTGTAACTTTTCTCAACCAAATCTCAAATTTTTTGGTAATATTTTTTAGATTTTGATTTTTTGCCAACAGAATAAGTTCAAAAATGAATGTTTTACCACTGAATGATAATTTGAGACGGTTTTAAATTATTAAATTGCTTAACCAAATATAATTTGTTTTTTCTTTCATATGTATATAGTGTATATCATAAAACTTCTCCGAACCATTTTTGGTGTTGCTCTATAAAATTTCAAAGAACTCCAGTTGTCGCTTTTAATTTCTTCTTATTTCACTTTCCTCCTTTTCTTATTTTTTTTTCTCACATTTTTCTTAAACTGTGAGAATTTATATTAGCAAAACACAACTGTCTGATCTGTTTTAAAAACAATATCAATTTTTGTAAGTTTGAGATCTATGGCGTAATTCTACTTCCAGAAAAACAAACAGATGAAAAATAAACAGGTATAAATAAATAGGATCTATATCTACATAAATGAGCTAATGTTAAACTGCGAAAACAAGCAGTCGCACTTTTCTTATAGAGCAAATGGATATTAAGTTAACGTAACCTAAGACAGTTGGGAAAAAATTTTTCGCTTTCGATTTTGAATGATTGCATTATTGAATGAAGATTTATTCGACAAAAACGACAAAAGATATTCAATGGTATTTTCAGAAATCCAATACATCGTGCACCTAATTAAATCAAACAAAATGAAAACTAGTGCCTATCAAAAATCAAACCAATACAAATGATTCAATCGCTCAAAAACCTGAAAATTATAAGTAAAAAATATATACATATAGCATGGAAAGTATATAAAATTGTGCAATTAAAAACAGTTTTGGGTGAAATTTTAAATCAAAAATCTTTGCTTACCTCAAAAACCACTTCAATGTTTCTCATTAGGCACCGAATCTAAAAAGTATGAAATCAAAACCATTTTTTTGTGGTTTCTTTGGTCCAAATTTGATTGTTCCATTGGTGAAAATATGACATCAAAAAATTTTGGTAATCATTCTTGAAGTTGTCCTACAAAAAAACTTTAAAAAATTCTGGTCGTCAAAATGACTTGTCGAATATAGTTTTTCTCGCTTGAACTATTTGGACTGATGTTTTTTTTTGTTGAGCTGCGTTTTCGTTTTACTTCGTTTTGTTGAGCAACATAAGTTGAACTGCGTAAAAATGGTTTACTTATGTTAGGTTTTAGTTGATAAATTTACATTTGTTTGAGATAAAGATCAGTTTTCATTTGACTTATTTTGAAAGAATAAATTGACCTAATAAATAAAGAACTAATAAATTGCTTGAAATTACTCTCAGCTGCTATCAATGAAATAGATTTTTTCAAATTTTCATCATAAAATATCATATCATGTCAAGATTATTTTTTTCTACATAATGTCAAATTTTTAAGACATTGTGAGCATAATTTTAGCTTAAACTATCATAATATTTTTTCTCATTTATTTCAAAAACAGGATACTTTCTCCATAATTTCAAGATAAATTGCATACATTTACTCTGAGAAATTTATGGTTCAAATTTTTTTCCAGGTTTTTCCATTTGTGGCTGGGAAAAAATTATTTACTATTACCGCAAACAAGGAGTTTTTAGGTTTTTAGGTAGCAAAAAAATTTTGGTTGCAGAATTTTTATGAAAATTGATTTTTTTCTAGAGACTTTTTGAATAAAAATCAATTTTCTTATAATTTAGTAGATCTGAAAAAAAAAAATTCAAAAAAATTGCAAAGCATTAAGCTTCAATTTTTGTCAGAAAATGCAAATTCATAGACTCTAATTAAATCCTAGAAAACAA